TCCCCAGTGGCAAACAGTCGGCCTGCTAATGCAGGAGCCCCAAGAGACGCAGGTTCGGTCCCTGGGTCGGGAAGGAGGAAACGGCAACCCACTCCAGTACTCTTGCCTGGGAAATCCCATGGACAGAAAAACCCAATGGGCTATAGTCCATGGAGTTGCAAAACTGAACGACTGAGCATCCTTGCAACCTAATGTTTCGTTTGGGTCAAAGTCAGAAACTCTTGGAGACACAGCCAGAGATCCAGCGACCCAGACCAGGAAATATGAAGGTGAAACTTGAGGATGGCCTTTCTTCCCAGAGACTTTCTAGCAGGTCACTTCGATCTCACTGCAGGCCCAACAGACACACGAAGACTTGAGGATATTCACCGCAAGATCGTTGCTTCAAAACTCTGCCAGCCTGGGGCTGATTTGTGGCTGTCGAAGGCTTCTGATGTGCTAATTGTTTGCTTACTTCTTCTGAGAGCAAAGGCTAGTCCTCTACGCAGAATGAGCTAATCACCAGTTCCATTCTCTCTTCTGCCAAAACAAACAGCTTCCAATTACTGCGAGAAGAAAGCCTCTGATCTCTAATCAGTTACCTAAACCAGGCTCTCAGTGGTACTTGGAAGAGTGAATAATGTCCCATTAAGCAAGAATCTCTTTGCACTAATAAAATCCTAGAGCCCTAGGACCAGGGCCGCCAGCAACCTGCTACTTATCTTCCAAGACTCCATCCACTTCCCCCCTTCAGGTCCCGAGATCTGGCCAAGAAATAGACTCGCTCAGACTCTTTTATTCCACTTGGGCTACTTTTTCCTCAAGCCTAGTCTACTGCACCTCCGTTGAGGATACCCAGGCATAGGAAGAGCAGGTTGCAGGTCTACTAATATTCAGTGACAGGACTCTTCTCTGTGAGGCTCTGAGGCTTAGCTCCATCACGGCCGTGATGCACAGAACCTGGGGAGACAGGCGGGGTGGCCACCAGGAACGTCCCAAGACAAGCGAGGAAGTTACTCTGCAGGACACGATGGAATTCTCAGTGATCTCGTTTCTGAATCTGCATTCTGCAATGTGGATTCTGCTGGGCTGCTGAAGCACGTTCTGGAGATCTCCGTAGGCGTGATGCCTCTCACCTCCCTCTCCTCTCCAGCGAAGGTTCTGAGCTGCCTAACTTCCCTGGGGCCCCCGGGAGCCCCCATCCTCCTCAACCTCTTCCTGCCCGCATACCCCCTCAAAGTACTGTCCCACTCTGCCCCCTGCAGCAACCTGAGAGCAGGCTCAAGGAACACTGGGGGGCACGTGTATGTTTAGTGGCGGCCATGCCCGTCCCACGCTGGGAGCTGCAAGCTGTGTTTGTGGACGACCAGCCAGAGGCCACAACGCCACAGGAATGAGCCTGTCCCCCATCCCTGGTGCAGGCACCTAACTGCCTCTGGTAAGGGGGTCTGAGCACCCTTGGGCGGTTGGGCTGCCCATCCACTACAGGTTGAGCAGGAGGAAGCAGAGACCCCTGGCTAGACTTCCTGACATTGCTCAGTCATGTGCGACCCTTTGCAATCCCATGGACTGTAGCTTACCAGGCTCCTCTGTCCATGGGATTCTTCAGGCAAGAGTACTGGAGTAGGTTGCCATTTCCTTCTCCAGGGAATCTTTCCGACCCAGGAATCGAACCAGGGTCTCCTGCATTGCAGGTGGATTCTTTACCAGCTGAGCCACAAGGGAAGCCCAAGAATACTGGAACGGGTAGCCTATCCCTTCTCCAGAGGATCTTCCCAACCCAGGAATCCAATCGGGGTCTCCTGCATTGCAGGTGGATTCTTTA